ACCAAAGGACTTCGCAACCCTATGGCGTGCTTTATATTGGTCACTAGCTGGCTTACCCGGCTCCGCCCGTCCCTGTCAAAACACTACGATAAAGCTCCCATCTCTATTTCTGTACAACCTTTCCCTGTGCCCACTTCTACATACCAACTCCAACTCCCTATTCTCGTTGTGTTAGTTACCAGCGTGCTCACTTATCCCTGTGCGAACTCCCAGCCTCATAGCTTAAACTTTGCAAAAAATCGATAAATTCGATAAAACTAATGGATACTTTCAAAACTCATATTGTATCCGCAATCAGCATGCTCGATTACTCCCCTGTGCCAACTCCCAGCCCTGTAGCTTAAACTTTGCAAAGAAATCGATAAAATCAATATCCGATGACGAAAAGTAGCCTAATACCTGACACCCGCCCCGCCCCGAAGTATGTATGCCAAGTTTGCTCCGGATCGGTTCAGAAATAAAAATTTCTATTGGGAACATACATGCAGATATACAGACATACATACAGACACACGACAAACAGGCATTCAGCCTTTATATACAAGATGAGAATCGTGCGGCATAAGGATCGCTTCCCGAACTTGCTCAAAAAGTTAAAAAAGGTGCGCCTTAACATGTGAAATTAAGGTAAATTTCCTGCAAGAATCCATCAATATAAACGCTACTGCATGACGAAGTCGCAGAGGCTGAATTAGCCGAGCAGGCGCGAACGCTGCGCGCGCGTATCTTCACCGTTGTAAATCCTGCGTTTCATACGCTATGCGACTAATAAAGCCGCGTTCGCGCCTTCGTCATGCAGCAGCATATACATTCTGTGCCGTTTCAAATATGAAATTCACACATCGTTTTAGTACTTCTCTCACGAGCCGTCGTCCTTTTTACACTTGCTGGTGCCCTTAGTCTGCGTCTCCTACCTGATGCGTCGCTAACATGTTGACAACATGCAGCAACATGTTGGCGCTGAGGCTGATAGATGTAGTATGTCGAAAAGCGCGCGTTATGGCAGTTGTCAATGCCAAACTGAACTCATTCTTCACAAAAGCAAGCTTTCAGATCCCAAATTTTGTTGATATATCGAAAAGTGTAAAGGAGGTTAACGTGGTTGAAATCCGGAAAAAACAAGTTAGATTTGAACTTTTTCCATGGATGATTCAGTTGAGACCGATTACTACGAGCCTTTCGACCGTCTCCCGAGACAAATAGCCAAATGTTCGGCATGTTGTTGCATGCAGAGGTGCGATAGTCGGAGCCGACTCTCCGCCTACCTTCACTTTTGAGCTGGTACAGGGTGACCACCTTCACTTTTGGGTTTGAAAATTTTTTTTGCTAAAGCTCAAAAGAAGGAAAATAAGCAAAAGGAATGTAAAAGAAAGTATTAAAAGCATATATTTATGTAGTAGGTCGATCCAGGCAGTAACAGCCGAGAACCAGAATTTTGAATGATAAAATAATGAAAAATCGTGAAAAATCATTCCACTGTTACAAATCTGCTGGCTGAAGAGACTTCATAGGTTTTGAAGGGTAAGTGTTGTTCTACCAGACAGTGAAAAAATCAGTTTGATTTGAGGAGTGGCCGCCGAGAACGAGAATTTTGAAAAACCTTAAAAATCTTCCCAATTTTAGGTTGCTTAATGACAATTGACATTTAAACTCTTATAAATCCGGACTTTGAAGGTGTGTGATGTTGCGACTTCATAGGTTTTGTAGGGTGAAATTTGCCCTATCAGAATTTGTCTTAGCTGTATTGATCCACTGAAACATCGCCGAGATCCAGGCTCTTAAAAAAGCGGGTAAAAAACCGTTTTTCAGCTCATAACTTCTTCAGAACTGCATGAATCATGTTGCGACTTCATAGGTTGGATTCTCCTCATCAAGAGCTTTCAAATGGTATATAATATGTGGGGGATTCACGCCTCCCACGGCATATGCCCGGGGGGTGGAGTACCTCTCTTCACTAATTCTCCACTGGCGGCCTCCCGCCAATACATTGAAATGGGCGGGGTGAAGAATTAGTGAAGAGGAGTACCCCACCCCGGGTTAGAGCCGCAAGAAATATTGATCCCCCACATATTATATATCATCTGAAAGCTCTTGAAGAGGAGAATCTAACCTATGAAGTCGCAACATGATTCATGCAGCTCTGAAGAAGTTATGAGCTGAAAAAAGGTTTTCTACCCGCTTTTTAAGAGCCTGGATCTCGGCGATGTTTCAATGGATCAATACAGCTAAGACAAATTCTGATAGGGCAAACCTCACCCTACAAAACCTATGAAGTCGCAACATCACACACCTTCAAAGTCCGGATTTATAAGAGTTTAAATATCAGTTGTCAATAAGCAACCTAAAATTGGGAAGATTTTTAAGGTTTTTCAAAATTCTCGTTCTCGGCGGCCACTCCTCAAATCAAACTGGTTTTTTTACTGTCTGGTAGAACAATACTTACCCTTCAAACCTATGAAGTCGCAACTGCGGAGGTCTTCAGCCAGCAGATTTATAACAGTGGAATGATTTTTCATGATTTTTCATTATTTTATCATTCTATGTAAATTCTGGTCCTCGGCGGTTACTGCCTGGATCGACCTACTTTCTTCGCTATACATTATAACAAAATTCAATCAATAAAACACGTACAGTTCCGCTGAGTTTTACTTCCAAAAACACTATTTGATAGGCACGTTTACTTTAGATATTTATGACGCTGTATACATAAAAATATGAAAAAATCTCTTTTGCATTTGTTTTGCTTATTTTCCGCGCACTAACGGCAATGACCTGGAAGGATAGACGTTAATGCTCCCCCCCCCCCCCGGTCGACGTTTTTGGGAGGTGAGTGTCCGGCACTACCACCTTCACTTTTGGCCGGCCAGTGGTAGCTGGGACCACCTTCACTTTTGGTGAGCCCGGCTCCCCCCATCGTACCTCTGGTTGCATGTTAACAAGTTGTTGCATGTTGCCAAGTCAGATTAAAGGGGTTAGAAAGATAAGGGGCGATATGCCGGTATATCGTAGAAATCGTTTTTTCACAGTTTCTCAAATATGTCGTTACACCATTCAGACAGCTTTGCAAAACCGTAAAAGGTTTATGTAAAATTAGCATACTTATCTGTTGTATAAATTTTCGGTATTTTTTGAGTTTTCTTCTAAACGCTCTGGTTTACAATGGCTCGCTATGCTGGAAGTTCCTACGGTAAAGCTACAATAATGAAGATCGATCGGAATTCGCTCGATACTGTTGAGTTAAAACCAGCTCTACAGAATGATACATCAAATGTGGAGAAAGAAATTGAAACAAGCTAATAACAAAAACAGTAGAACATTTTTTGGTATACTTTGTACACGCTACAACTCAAATCGTCACTGGAATTTTGACTGCTGGTAAGAGGTGTACTTTAGTGCAACATATGTTCTACAATAATAACTTTGCTTGCCCCCAAAAGTCGAGTATGTCTCCATAACCCCTGTGGCGGACAAATTCTTAAAAGCAGCGTCCGGGCAAAATCTCGAACAAAATTTTTTTTGTTTACCTGGCCTTATTCTTCCCGCTGATTCCGAAAATTCACCTTGCAGAGAACGAAGATGTCGAAAAAGGGCTTTTCCAGAAGAAGTTGATTTTGAATAATAACGCTTGCCGGCGAGGTTAAGACGCAGAGTCGCGTGCTCGACATACGTACTCTGGCTATGCGACAGTGGCATTGTATAATATTTTCAACTAATCAGTCAATTTTGTTGCACTAGCTTTTTAACCATCTGAGCACATATTAGGTCGGTCCGAAAGTTCTCGCTGTTTTTCAGACCATACTTAACACTTAGAATAAAGATAGACAAACGCTGTAAGCAATTTCCGATGCAGAACTTCCTTCTCTTTCTAATGGTAATCTTGTTCAGATTCCCTCAATGTCCACTCAGTAATCGGCAGCGATCTCTAACACATGATTTAACCCATCTTCAGTTTGGCTATTTCTTAAAATTTCCAGTTTTAACTTTTGGACTAGCTTTGATAACAGTTGGATAGAATAAACCAAATGCAATACAATGAATTATTTTGGCTTCATCAACTAACTTTCCAGTATCTCTCAAAATAATTTTTCCGGAGCCATACTTTTGCGAAGTTGCGAAATACACGATCGCTTCAAACGCTGACAATTCTTCATAATTCAGAGCTTCCAAAAACAGATTATGACTTAGCACTAATCTTAGCAAGCAACTGAGTATCTAGCGGTTCATATTGAATCCAGAATTTTCTGAGCACAGCCTGAGACGCGTCTGAAAACAAAAAATTATAGTGATTTTTTCATCAAGTAATATGCAAATCAGGAAGAAAAGAAGCCCACCAGAAAGAGAAGGAAAAGCTGCATCGAATGATTCCTGATTGCTCGTCGTTTATTGTTCTGTGAGGATTGGAATGCTCCAATATGGAATTTGATAGCATCAGCATAGATAATAGAAAAATATTTTCAAAATTTTTGAGAAGCCAGCTAGAGATGTCAGAAAAATGTATTGTATTGCATTTTGTTTATTCTATCCTAATATTATCAAAGCTAGTCTAAAAGTTGAAAATGGAAATTTTAAGAAATAGTCAAAGTGAGGAGCGAAAATCATGGGTTGTAAATCGCCGCCGATTATTAAGTGAACATCGAGGGAATCTGAACATATACATAACCATTAGAAAGCAAAAGAAATTCTGCATCGGATGTTTCTTGCAGCGTTTGTCTATTCACTCTAAGTGTTTTGAGCATGGGTCTGAGAAACAGCGCGAACTTTAGGACCGGCATAATATATTGTAAATGCACAATCACAACAATACATAAACTCTGCCTAATGTTCGTTTATCTAATGAGAACCATGAGTGAAAATGAAATTATTGATCACTGAATATTATCTTCTACGTCAGTATTCCAGCCGCATTCAGAAGTCTTGTGTCGTGCAATCCCTCGGTAAACAAGTCTTTAGTCGCGAAAGGCGTGACATCTGCAGCAATCAGTGATAATTCTTCGCTTGTAATGCAGCTCTATTTTGCCAGTGGATTTCGACTTTTTCTACCTGTCGTATTTCCCACTGACGAAACCCTGAACTGGTCATCCATCAAGCTTCTGCATCTATTGGAAATAGTTTTCATTATTGTTGCGTGCCCAGGAGCTGTGTTACTTGTTTATGCACTGGGCAAATCTGTACGTCTATTTCACATAAACCTTATACGAATAGCTCAGGTGAACTTTTGTCATGTGTTACATCATAGAGGAGAACATCAGAGTTGTTTTGGGAGGTATAAACTTTGCAAAGAGGTCCTCTTTGCTTTTTCTATCAAGAATGGCCGCCCCTATAATACATTCCGTCTTGTTCCACTGGGTATTGAAGTCAAGGCTGCAAAGAGGGATATTAATGCAAAACATAGGTGTTTTATGCAGCATTGTTTGTTTTCACTGTAACCTCTTTTAGGTTCATGTTGTCGCTTTTACGGTGTCGCAGATCTCACGTATCATAATCCTCTTGTTTGAAGCCGGTTTCTTGAAAAAGAAAAGTAAGACAAGTTGCATGACTCTCTGAATAGGATATCATTTGCGTTATTTAAGCTTTGTTTGACGACAGAATATATGCTCTCATCTTTATAAGATATATGTCGCTTTGTTGCTTGATGACAATTATTCCTGCTTTCATAGTAGAACGAGCATTGGCATCACTCTATATCCGTGACTACGAGAGCGTCAAACGACTTTGGATATCGGTGTTGGTAAACGCTACCTCGCTGCTGGTGTCTACGCTCTATTATGTGCTCATGCAGCTCATTGCTTTCAGTAAGTGTGTGGTCATTCCATTACTTCACGCAGAATTAGGAAGCTTCTACATTTCTATAAGGTTGATTCATTAGCTTATGCATGTTGTCACTTTGAGACAATAAATGACCACTCAACAGATCATCACTGCGAAGCGGGTTTCACTGCTTTGACTAGAGTTTTCGATAGCACATTAAACATAAGAGGCACCTTCCACGCAAAGTGGGGCGCTAAGATTTTGGTGCTGTACGTTAATGGACCCCTAGATTAACATATTGACGACCGCTTGACACACATGGTGTGTCAAGCAAAGACTACCGCGTGGGACCGCTTGACACACAATGTGTGTCAAGGCTTGAATTTTGTAAGAATGACTACTGTCCTGGGATGGACTCACTGCATGAGCTTTCTTTTGCACCGAATCTAGAGATGGCTCTACCTTTTTTATCAGCTTTTCATATTTACTGTAGGTGTGCTGTAGACGGCAGCATGCGTAGTTATATGTAGTTGAAAAATATGGGCTGATCTGTAAGAAGTCTTGGTCCCAGAAAACAGACAACTAAAAATCTGCATGGTCGTCAATGTTTTAAGCAGATGGCCAAATGGCGCTGCGAATGCTTCAAAGAGACGACCCCACTCCGAAAGCAGCAGATGGTGGGTACTCCGCTGGTCATTCCGCTCATACAACACTTCTCTTTGAGTGTTTGACCTCATAAGGCTTGTTCGATGCGCATACTTTATAGCTACTAGTACTTGACAAGTCGAGGCGCGTCCTATGTGCAACTGACCATGAGTGTTTGAAGCACTCGTCCATGCCTAAAAACTCCTGAAACCTGTTTTCTTTTTCTGCTATTTGAACTTCGTCTCTGAAGTCATGGCCATGAGAAGGGACGAAATTGTCAGAAACCTGCAAGTCGAAAATTCGGGTAGGGGGGGGGGATTGTCTCTAAAGCTTGGGCAAACCTTTTCTTGCCTGAAGTCATTGTTTTTGGACAGTGCTGAGGTTTGCTTACGTCGACTTCTATGCCTTGTTCCAACACCACACTGAAGGCAGCGTCGTTCGCTTCGAATATGCCTTTACAGGCCCCAGCAAATTCTCGAAGCGGCTCGCTCAAAGGCAGCGTCCACCCAAATCCTCGACTTCCATGTTTTTGTCGTTCCGAGGCCTTCTCATGCCCTTTATTCCGAATACCAAGTTGAGAATACGCGAAAACTCGACAATCCCTATTTCCACAGAACCCCCACGGTGAGTTATTGGAACAATGATTGGATGGGTGCGCGCTGATGGGCGGGACAGACGTCACCTCCACCCACAGGGGAGGAGACCATAACGAATCCGTCATCCGAAGCGATTTTCGAAGCAATTTTCACGCTTTGGAAGCAACTTTTGGCAGCGCGAGATTGGCAAGTTACAGTTGGGGCCCCTTAAGGCCTCGGACAGACTTCACGCGATTTGATCGTCGCGACTGAATCGCGAGGAGACAACTGTTAGAACATCATTCCATGCCGATCAACTTGTATTTCGGTTATGATACTTTTCCAGCCCGAGATTTTTGAATGTGAATTGAAAATGAATGGAAATGTTGACGATTGAGTCGCGGCGATCAAATCGCGTGAAGTCTGCCCGGGGCCTAAGGCATCAAAATCGCATCGACCTCTAGGGCCTTGAAAGGAGTATCCGGTCGGAATGATTGGATTTTTCGCTTACCTGGGCTTATCCTTCGCTGACCGAAAATGCAGCTTGGAGAGCACGGGAAATCCGAAAAGTCCGATCCTGGATTCGAACGCCTGCGGTCAAGGTTGAGACGCAGAGTTGTTGTGGGACCCCACTTCTTAACGGTGGGATATGCGATTCAGGCTTATCCATTCTAGGACGCTAGTCGCTGAGGCGTTCCGGTTACTGCTACTGAAGCGGTTTTCTCGCCTCACAAATTGGTGCAACCCCACTTGGGCAAGAACATCCCAGGACAAACTCCATTGTATTCTACGTTTTCTAAGTGACCGGACGCTGCCTTTAACCCCTTTCTGCTCCCGTCACATCTGCGCGGACGAGCTTATATACTGTGCGTCACTTTATGTGGCAACGCAAGCCATGCATCTTATTTGTAACACATGTTCTTAAACTTGACCACACTTGATTAATGCCTACTCGACCTTGATTATGAAATATGTTCCAGCGGGAATAATCACAGGTTTCTATGCAGTTCTTTTAAGTATGAAATCAGGCACTAAAAAGGATCGAAAATGACTGAAACGTGTGATTCGATGCTCGGACACAGCTATTGAACCACTACGTTGCTTGTGTACTCTCAGTTCGCAATATGTATTTCATTTGTAATTCAGGCCTGTACGCTATACTCTTCCTCGTGGCAATGGCTGTAATAATCTTCACGCTTTCTTCGCTTTCTATTATGATGGTCTATCGTCGTGATGTTGCAAAACTTCGCGATTTATCCGACAAAACTGGTCGTTCTACTATTAACTACACTCTAAGCATGAAGTTTCAATTGGCGGAGAATATTCGAGTGGCAAAGGTAGAACTCTTGTGTTATACATAAACAACACAGAAATTTGTGTTGCCTGATAAGAAAAAGAAGTGGTAATATCTCGGCGGAATCCAGTAATTGACGTTCATGATTGTTTCATTCGAAACCAACCTCAAAAGCAACAACCTGCGGGCTAACATTGTAGTACTGATATCGCATCTTTGTGCCCTTATCTAGAAGGCAAGGAAGAATGTCAAATTCAAGGCTTGGGAGAACCACAGAAGGAATCTTTGCTGTACATCGCATACGTCCAGTGTAACTCCCGTTCCATCTGAAGATGGCAGACTAACATGACTAATCAATGACTGCTAAATAATGAATACAAAGTCTTGCACAAATGAGATGTTGAGAACAAATATTGCTTTCGATATTCCAAAGAATATTGTTTTCAGCTACTCACTCACGCTTCGATAGGCGTTTCCATATTGGGAACGAGTTTGTGCTGCCTATGCAGTCCACCTTTCTTGATATTGGGTGAAGAGAAGCCTATCAGCCATCTACTTTATGCTGTTTCTAATGTAGTCATAGCTGTGTGAGTCTTAATATATCCTCTTAACGCATATAGTTAGAGTGGCTGAGGTGTATTACGTATGATTTTCCTCAGGTCATTCACCATTACTGTATGGCTGTGCTTAATAGCGTTTGGGGAGATAAGACGAATATATAAACGCACCTATGCCAGTTTTTGTTGTATGAGTCGCAAAGCGAGAAAACTACTATATCCTGTCCATACTGTCGACGTTCAAGAAATAGCTGACAAGCATTTCGAACAACTCAGAACTGCATGGAAGACGACCTCATAAATGATGCTATGGTATAATCTGATAAATCAAAGTCAACTTCCATTAGACTATTAAGAAGATATACGGAAAAGGATATCGGGCAGAAATAAAAAGTTTAGTCTTCGGATTGTTTGTTGGCTCATTGTTCCACTCATTTTCTTACAAGTGTTTCACCTCTGTTTCGCAGAGGCTTGTACTGGTCATCAGGGAAAGTGCTGGAGTAAAGTTGCGGTCCAATAGTTCACTCTCATTCCAAGGTTGCCTGAAGCGAGTGAAATTTTTGAAAAGGAACCACGCTCGCTATCCGATATCACATGCTTAAGATATGGCAGATCATTTCTCACTGTAATTTCGTAACGGACAAACTTCACACAGCCCCAGAGCAAGCGGTTTGAGTCATGATGATTAAGGGACCAGCAGTGGGACACTTCTGCTTCGCAAAGGCCCTACTGGCCACTTTGGAAAGATGAAAACTTGCATAGAGGTTCATCATTCTTCAGCCTAGTAGGTAATCCAGAATGAAAAAGAACCTTTCCTGTCGTGCTACTCTCACATGCCTCAAAGCCATGTAATTTATTCCTTACTGTAATTGTATTGACTGGATGGCGTGCATTCAACGGACAAACTCCACATAGACACGATTAAGCGGCTTATAATAAGTCATGATAGATTGTTAATCTTGTTTGACTCTATGAGGTGATAAGGCGAACAATTTTTATTGCGAAAAACCTAATCCCATGATTATCGCTGTATTTGAGGCGGGTAATGAGCTGTGAGCGATCGATCCATCAAAGGAAGAAGAGAAGTAAAATGAATCAAAAAATCAATGGAACCAGAGAAAACGCTTTCATACCAAACTCTTTTTTCATCCTCTCCGATTGCTACTGAATGGCATGCACTTAATCTGTTCCTTAGAGGAAAAGTTTTTACGATACAGCTCAATGTCTGATGCTCTACTAAGGTAGAGAAGGCTATCTTTGATAACTGGCAGAAACGGTAATGCGATTCTGTATTAGTAGCTGAAAGCCAGCATTACCTACAGTGGCAGTCTCAGGATTTCCGTCCGGGGGGAGGGGGGGAGTTGTTCAAATGAAGGTAAATGGCGTTAGCCACGCACTCCGAATCAATTTCTAGGGTACTTCTCAAAATTTTTGCAGGTCCATAACCCCTAAAATCTTGAAAAAGGGAGCGTGGCGTCAGTCACGTATCTTGAAAAAGGGAGCGTGGCGTCAGCCACGTCCCCGAAGAAAATTTTTTTACAAAGCTAATTTGAATTTTTGAAAAAATTTAAAAATTATTTTCATTATTTACAAAAATAAACAAGTCATTTGCACTTTTTTACAACCCATGTAGGTAAGTTTCAAAAATTTCGCGACCCATTCTCGGAGGGGGGAGGCGCGCTTCCCTCCCCCCGCCCTCCCCCGCTCGGTCCGCCACTGTTACCTACCAAATTGCAAGTATTGCCCTTCTACGAGTGTATAACGCAGCAAATTTCTTTGCTAAGATGTGCTGCACACTATTCAGATCGAGATTGGCCACGAGGCTCAAATTTGCTTTTCCGCTTTGTTCAACAGTAGCCTTTAGCATTTTTTCACGAGCAGATTAGTCTCTCAATCTCGGTACCGCAAGGAACAATAATAAAGATCAAAAGTATATAGATACAACTATGCTCGAAAAGGGATTGCTCCTTAGCAGGGTTGAGCAAGAGGTCAGTCCCAGTTCCTTCATAAAAACCCTCCCCCTTTTGAAAGCCCCTAAAGAGCCCCTTCGCTTCACCTCCGCACTTCAGATTATAATGTGTTGGAGAAGATCAGCCTTTATTGGAGGGTTTTGGAAGCCTGTAGGCCCGACTTTCTGTGACTGCACGACCACACGCAACTTGACAGCGAATTTCGGATTGGGATAGTCCTCTAAGCTATAAATACCACAGGGATGGAGTGTTTGGTTCCAAATCTTCAAGCAAGAAGAGGCTTTGAGCTCAATATCCATACCAGAAAAATAGCGACTTTTGAATGTTGGTGAAGTTAAGGGGGTTAGGCAGGCTCTAAAAGCTCAGGCGGTCTGACCTTTTGGGGGTAGTGCCAGACCCCATCAACTTTATTTTCGAAGATGCTTTTCCACCCAAGTCTAGTAGACAGTGTCTCACCAAAATTGAGGTTGCACGGGTCTCCACATAATCTACTAAAAGGCCCCCAAATAGGCCATTGCAACAAGTCCGACTCGATTTGGCCCCTCTGCGCCGAGAAAAATGAGCTCAAAGTGGTATGCGGAGAGCGATTTGGTACGTGCGGCCTATTTCTCCTGCCTCCCCCCTTACGCGTTTCAACATGCCCCTTCACTTTGCGTCCGACTCCATAATGTTGCTGCCATTGTGGCGAAGGTGAGAGTCAGAAGGCACAATTAGTCCACGATGCCTCTGTGGGGCCTCCAGAAAACGGTGTTTCTAAAAGATTCGTGCGGTTTTAACCCCCTACAATGTTAGACAGGGTTCGATAGGCTTGTGTAATATGCGAAATTCTCAGCAGCGGATTTTTGGTGAGACACTGCCTTCATGTGACTCGCTAGCACAACCCTAGAACATTTCACGGTATAGGCTGCTGCATGATGAAGGCGCAATATCTTCGGGCGCGAACGCGGCTTTATTAGCCGCAGAGCGCACGAGGCGCAGGAATTACAACCAGGGTCAAGCGTGAGGTGTGGCACGCCATACCTGGGTCGTAGAGGGGTCAGAAAGAGGGGGGAGGTCGTGTCGAAGCGATAGGATGTTAGCGACATTATGCCATTCAACATCTGATAAGCACATTGTAAAAAGTACCAGCGCTGATGTTTTGGCCTACCGTCGTACATGCACAGTAAGAATATTAAAAGAATCCTAAAGGCATAAGAGCACCATTTTTGTAATTAGCATGTCAAATAACCCCTGAGTGCCAAGTTTCAGCGAATTTTGAGGCTTTCAATGGGACACTGAAATGAGGTGGTTTTTTTGCGACTGATAATGATGATAACTTCGTATCAAAGGTGAGTAAACTAAGTAAGTAAACTACTTCTCTTTGCACTCATTACAAAATACTACTACTTCTTTGCTCGTGTAAGGAATCCCACTTCAATCGACCCCCAAAGTCGGGATCAAGAGTAAGCCAAAATCTCGTTTGTCCCATAATTCGCTTTCAATTTTTCAGACTAGAGAAAGAAGACCAATCAGGCTCAAATCACTTTTGTGGAAGTTACGAGGATCAAGCTATCGAAGATACTTATCTTTGCCGCCTTCCCTCGCATTTCACCTAGTAGCGCAGATTAGCACTTTACTGTAATCCATTATTTTCGCAGCATTTTCCATTTGCTTGGCTAAGAAAAAACGACTATAATTTTCCTTAGGAGAAACAATTTTGAATGAAATTCCTGCTTTGTGGAGAAGAAGATTTAGCATTAGCAACCATATAAAAAAGAGAGATTTGAATGCTTCGAAGGTAAGTTGATGAGATGTTGTACAACCCCTAAAAAACTGTGGCCGCCGCAGCTTTCCAGGGGTTGTGCCACACCCCATTAACTTGCCTCCGAAAAGAGTTTTAGCGAACAAAATACATATAGTTTGGTAGCCTCAGTCTTGTAGTTTTCACAGGAATAGTTTGGGCTTGATGCATTTTCTTCGCTCTGAGTAAAAGCTTGTGAAAGCGCAGCTATCGGAAGCGAAAATCGGGACAAACGAGATTTTGGCCTGTTTCTAATTCCATAGTTTGATGATTATTTGAAGAAGAACTAGTGAACCAGTAATCTAAAGGTGCTATTTGGAGGAGCGTTCGCTTCGGGACCGCCACGCGGTTTCCCGCTATTTGCAGATTTTTCAATTGAGTTAACGATTCTTTATATATTAGATTCATGGTATGGGAAAATACGGAGTAGTGCTTTGTATTGAGTTCAAAAAAAGTTAGCTAATTCACTTTCAAAATATAGTTAATCATGTTCGCAAATGTTCACTTCAATTGGGTGTTCCAATGGGAATCCTCAAAGCTTGCTAAATCTTGGCCCTGGTGGTTACTTGATATGATAATAACGAATATGTGCCTAATTATGCATGGTAGAGCCTTTATGTCATGCCTATGGAAGAGAAGATAGAGAGGGGGGGGGGTATCGAGACAGAAGATAGGTGGGGGGGGGGGGTCGTATTCGGCGCTTGTATGCCACACCTCTTGTCCGACCCTGATTACAACGGTGAGGATAGGCGCGCACCGCGTTCGCGCCCGCTCAGCTAATACCACTTCAGCGCCTTCGTCATGCATTAGCCTTTGAAGGCACCTTCCACCCAGATTCTCGACTTCTAGGTTTTTGTCGTTTCAGGGCCTTCTCATGTCCTTGATTCCAAATATGAAGTCGAGAATCCGCGAAAACCCCGACAATCCCCAATCCGGAGAGCCTACAGGCCGGCTTTTCAGAACGGTGATTGGATGAGCGCGCACAAATGGGCGGGCATGGATGGCGAGGGGCGGGCATGGATGGAGGTCCTCGTGCATCTTCGCTATTCCGAAGCGATTTCCTCAAAAGCGGCATTTTGCGCCGCGACTTGGGCATTGGCTTGATAGGAGGTCCTACTGTTATATGCTGCCAAAAGCTCAACACCCTCAACTTAGGGTGGACGGTGCCTTTAAAGGCAGTGTCTCACCAAAGTTGAGGTCGCGCGGATCTTCACATAATCTATCACAGGGACCTCTAAGTAGGCCATTGCAACAAGTCCCACTCAATTTGACCCCCTCCACACTGAGATGGTACGCGCGGACGACTCCTTCGGTCTCCCCCCCCCTTACGCGTTTGAACATGTCCCTCCACTTGGCATCCACCTCCCCTCTGTTGCTGCCACTGTGGCTGAGGCTGAAGTTGGAAAGCACAACTCGTCCTTGCTGCTTCCGCGGAGCCTCCAGAAAACGGGGTTTTTGGGAACTTCGTGCGATTTCAAGTCCATACAGTGCTAGACAGGGTCCGACAGGCTTGCAAAATGCAAAAATCTCGGCAACTAAATTTTGGTGAGACACTGCCTTTGAGTGTTTGGGCTTGGTTAGACTTGTTTCGATGCGTCGACTGGAGTTTTTGCAGCATTTCTTTTTCCACTACTTGAAAATCATATGAAGCC